CAGTGCTGAAACTACTTGCTGGAAAACACAAAGTTGAAAAACTAGACTTATCTGGAACAAAAACGTTCTCCTCTTTTTTGTTTTTTCCACTGCTGAATGGAATGTCATCGACAGTAAGGGAGTTAAATTTGAGCTGCACATCATTTGTCTTGGACTTTGCTGCCATGAAGCCACTGAGCTGTTTGACACATTTGGATGTGAGCCATTGCACTCCTATAAATGACCACTTGATGTCGGTTGCTGCACAGAATATGGATTGTTTAAAACACATTAATATCTCTAACACTGCAATAAGACATGTCTCTTCATTCGGGAAACTAAGAGGTCAACTAAAAACATTAATCGCTTTTAACACACCAATATCATGGACAAACCCTGCTGAGTTCAAGGACTTTACATTATTACAGAAGCTTGATATTTCAAGAAGTTCTGATAATGATTTGCACCACGATGGGATGATGGAGTCTATAAAATATGACGAAATGCTTACAGACCAATGTATGATGCCAAACCTGGTCTCTCTGGATGTTTCAGGTGTTTCCACAGTAACAGCAGGTGCTTTGCAGTCATTTCTTAGTTCTCATCCTAACCTTAAGTTCCTTGGCCTTTGTTTGATGTCACAGAATTTACAAGAACAACTGGAAAGAATTTCTCCTCTTATTAAGGTAGAATTATCACAATAATATAATAAACTAATGATATGAAACAGTGAAAAACTGTTCTTGTTTTCAACCAGAATGGTGAAAATCTTCAAAGTTTGTTGGAGATGTTTCCAATTTTCATGAAATACCTTTAGAATTCCATATTGTTGAGGGACTTGATGTGAAGTCTATACTCAAATGTAGTGGCCCATCTTGCTGCAGCTCATCCTGGTTTACTTCACATGAAGCAACTTAGAGGGTTACTGTACTCCCTCCTTGGACAGGATTCCAGTCAGTCACAAGATTACCCCCAACAATCATCAGGTTCTTTTGATAAGTGTTGTACCAGAGTTTTTTTTAGTCACATTACACTCATGTGCAGTAAGAATTTATTTTGCAGCTAACATAAAGGATATGTGACTTGGCTGCATAATACTTAGTGTAATTTTCTGAAATCTTTTCATCCATCAACTGCTCTTTATAAGCTTTTCCTTATACTACTTACATCATAAAAGTCAACATTCGAGTTAAATGTGGCTTATCTTTCATCAGATTACAGGTGAAGCTACTGAGAAACAGATCCTTTCTTCATTACAAATGTACCCAGACAGAGCTGATTACATGAGAGAAGCTCTGCGTGGATTGTTTCGCATCAGCAATGATTGGACAACAAGAAAACCACAAGTTCTAGAGGTACACAATGAAATGGCTTATTTAATTAACTTAAGGTTCTTTAGGGTCCTTTGAGCTCCAAGAGTAATCATCATATACAGAAAAAATTTTCAACCTATACTTATTTTGAACTGCTGTAATTCTGATTTATGATTGCAGCAATGTAGAAATTTAACCTCACAGACTTAACAACTGCAAGCAGGTTTTTCATTTAGTTTAGAAATTGCAAAATTAGCTACTTGCAGTGCAGAATTCTCCAACTACAGTTCAAAGGCCTGAGGAATTTTGTTTTCATTTCCTATATATAGCTACTACTGCATTTTCTCATGAAAATTAACCCTGCAGATGTGAAAAAAATTCATTTGAGAATGTTGTCTCTTAAATTTTTCTTTGTCAAAGGGGAACTCTTACCTACATGATATTGCTTTGAAAGTCTTAGGATTTAAAATTAGTTTAATTCTTTTTAATCGCATTTGCACAGCTTGTCCTTACTCCACTAGAAAAACATCCAGGTGATTTCAATGTTCAAGTGGCTGCTACGTAAGTTAAATATTCACAAAGATTCTCAAGTAGTTACAATAATCATTCAAAGTGAAACAATTTCGTTTATTAAAATAAAAAATTTTCTAAAAATTTTGATTATCTTCAAATCAAATTTTTGATTTTAGAATGAATGTTCTTTTGAATTCAGAACTTGTGTAGGTAACATTATCAGAGAAAGAGGAGGAGAGGCAGACCCACAAGTGCATCCTCATTTCTTGAGGTAATAAAACTTATTATCACATAAACTGCAGTGTTATACAGGGATTTCCGGCTCTAAGAAAAGCCGTAACAACACTCATGAAAAAATATTGTATTTTTTCATGTGTGTTGATATAGCCAATCAGTTGCTAACATGTCACTTGCCTTTGGTGCCACTAGGTCAGGTTGATAAATGAACAGCAAATTAAAGGCTTAATGATTCCCAATACAGGTTGGTTTTTGGGGCTTTCTTGAATTATGGCGGCTAAAACACAAAAAAATCTATTTCGCTGAAAGACTGTAGGGTTCAAACTTGCTTAGAAGGGAAAGGAAACCAATATACTGAGCTATCGAGTCAAACACTTGAAGAGAAATTCCATATTTACGCATGCCCATGTATTTTTCTCTGTTTACTGGATATGTGATTAAATGTGGTTAAAACACTTCCAAAACAGTATTCGAGGGCTGGTATTGTTGTGTAACAGAAGATAGCAGTAGCTAATATTCTGAGCAACCAGGTGGTCACCATGGCAATCAAGCCACAGCCCTCCTTTAGGCACCTGTTAACACAACACAAGAAAAACAGTATGTGAAATGGTTACCTACTCAAAATGTGGAAGTTAAGGTGGGGTGGGGAGTGCAAACCCTCCATGTCTCCCTCCATGCCCTCCTCCCTTCCACATATTTGTTAAACCACTGACTTATCAATTAAGGTAGAGAGGAAGTAATTTTCACTTTAAATTAATTACTTGATTTCTTAAAAGTGAATGACTAGTCAGAATCTTTTTAAAGTTAACATGCAATTGTGCAAGTTATGCCCTTAACTTGCTTACTCTGATGACAGAATGAGTCAACATGATTATTTTTAGTTATCTTCTGTTTGATTTTTCAGTAAAGTTGCATCTTTGGTTCTATCAGCAATGAGAACCTTTCCAGAAAAGCATCAGGTAAGAATTCATTTTATTTATAATAAATGAATCAAGACAAACAGTTAAGTAATCTATCATCAAAAACTCTCTATTACGTTTTGATTCTGCTTGATCTTAATTATGACAAAATAACAAGAACAATGAAACATCAGAAAATGGTCAGAGAAGAATTAATGTATTTAATGACTGAGCACAAGGAACAGACAGGAAATTGTTACACAGCCTCATGCCAATATTTTCCAGGTCTGCCTAATCTAACTCAATCACTCAGTGTTTGTCATGAGCACTGCCCCTTTTTCTTTCTTTCCATAGCTTTTGCAGAATTGTATGTCAATTTTGGGGTCAAAACAAGTTGTCAGAAAAGCAGTAAGTAGAAATGATTCAAATATTGTAAATTATCTCCAGTGCGTTGAAGGAATATTGGCTCTACGATATGGGCTGAAAATTTAGGGCAGTAACTGTCATGAGATGTATGTTGCCAAATAGAGTTGGAAACCAATAACTTGATATTTACTTTGCAGACATTCAACTACTTTGAAGCATCATGCTTGACTATGGATGCCCTGTGCAATTTCCATGGTAACCAGGATATTTCTCAGCTGGCTACACAGCTATGTGCAATATTGTGTCTTAAGGTATCACGGTACCTATCATTTCCCCTTGAATTAGTACCTGCAGACATTTTGAATAATAAGTGCTTCTCCTGCTTGAATATGCACTTCCTCCTTTCCTTCCCCGGCCCTCTCTCTCTCTCTCTCTCTTTATTGTTAAGTTACCTTGTTCACCAAATTAGTAAACTCTTTCATTCTCAGAAGTGATTCTCATATAACTTCTTCCTATAATATCCATACATTATCCAGCAAACAGATAACGAGAGTACTCAAACTTATCTGGTAGAAGTTATTTATATTGATCTAACACCAAATTCCTGCATCTAATTTGCAAGGAAATGTGTAGCAGCCAAAGGGGAGAATTAACAATCATATCTTTCGGTCTGCAAAGATATGCATGTCTGGACAATTATTTTAATTACTAAAACTATTCACTTGAGTGGTTCCCTGCTGTAATTTGAAGTAATTATCTGGGTTACTAATTAAAGCTTTTCTAATTCCACAATTGTGCAGTTGACTGAGAGAGAAGCACTTGCTCTTGGCTCAGAGAAAAACATTATGGTAAGAGATGTAACATATTAATCAATAAAAATAAATTCTAAATTCATTTAATTAGCAATTGTTATTAATCAAAGCAGCATTTTTTGGCATGATAATCAGGTATTTAAATATCTCAAGTTGTGGTCGATTAAATATGTCTTTCAATATATGAACTATGTCTTTACTAATCAATTCATTTTAAAAATGCAGACCATGATTAATGTTATTCAAGAAAAGATCAGTGCAAGTCAGGTATGGATCAGATAGAATCAACAAATGATTTTATACTAAATTTTTAATGGAGTGAGCAGATTAAAGAAAGGTTAGGTTAGGCCTTGTGTGCTGGGTCATTGCCATTATGCTTTATATGATATTTTTGAGTTACCTTTGAGCAGAATTATTTTTCAGTATAAGAGATATGATCATTAAAATAAAGAAATACAAAGCCAGCACATTTTCTAGAAATAGAAAACATGGGAAAGCCAAGACTAATAAAGTTAAACATTTTTTAAAGGTTCCTCTGACTATCTATTCAAATTAGCTGCTTTCATTATAATAATAAATTTCTACCTACTTGTGTCCACTCTTAACAAGTCATATTTTCTCATTTTCTTTGTCTCAGTTGGCTTGTGATAATAATTTTACCCAAGATTTTGATAACCATGTCCTTTTAAGAAACTGTTTGCAATATTTTCATCATCAAAAATTATAATTAATGATATTTTAGATTGTTTGATTTAGTCCCTTTTTTTTCTAGGAGGATTTCACATTGTGTGAAGCACTTATTGTTATAGTGAACTTAACTGGTATGCAATGTTTATTGATAAGTTTACAAAATTGTACTTTGAAAAGAGATTGATGTAAATAAAAGTTTGGATTTAAATGACTTTTCAATGTGGTGTAACAGGAATGGTACATTTGGTTCAGGTCTTTGAATGATGCACGTAGCTGGTTGAGCTAAACTCAGGGTAATTTATAGCAAAGTCTTTTGTCATTTGCTATGACAAAATGGCCAATGCTCTATGGTGGCCAATTCACATCATCAACCCTGTTGGAATAGTATATTACCACAAGTTCTTTAGAAACTTATCCCCTTCACTTGAGCTAAACTCAGTTTCCAGCCCAAGGAGTGATTAGGAGACTAGTTGTTCAAGTAGATAGGATTTTAGTTAATTGCAAGTTGCCCACTAACCCTGCCCTCCCCATTTTGTCAACTTTTGCTGAAAGTTTTCATAAGGCATTATGATGTGAGGGTTAAGTGTCTTACCCTAGAATACAATACAATGACCCTTGCTGAGCTCAGCAAACCAGGAGTAAGGCTATTTCCATGAGCTGTCCAGATAAAAAAAAATTTCTTTCTGTATGACATTCACAGATGAGAAACCGAGCACTTGTTCTCTGTTTGTTGAGAAAGGAGGTTTAAAATTGATGGTGCAAGGCCTTAAGGTATACAAGAACATTCTTTTCTGGAAAATGGCAAATAAACTCAAACATTAACCACTAGGAGGTAGTGTGGCTGAGTGGTGAGGGTGCTTGTAATCTAGTAGTCCTGGGTTCAAGTCCTCTTCCCTGCCATTTGTTGGATTTGTTCTCAGCCACCCCAAGTTGAACTCCTCAGCTGTGCTGTGTAAGGAGCCAACTGGTCTGCCTCCTGGTAGTTGGGAGTTTCAAGCATTGTATGTTTTATTTCAGTCATTGTAAAGCGCTATTGGATAGTGATAGAAATAGCTCAACATTGTCGACCACACAGTATCAAATAGGATCAGTGCAACCAAGTTCAATTGTTATTAAGTATGTTTGAGGTTTTCACAGCTCTCACTCTCACACACCCACCATCAACAAAGGGATGGGATCATGGACCGGATCATGGATCACAGATCAGGTCATGGATTGCATCACGGGTTGAAAGAAAAGTTTTAAAAAGTAAAAAATTCAAATCATTTATGAAATAATAATACTTAAAATATGAGACTAAAAAAACCTTAAAATGTGATAATTGGAATTTAAAATGTTGCATGACAAGCTAAAATAAAGTCTACATAACGGGATGGAGCTTAAGCCCCACAGGAAGTTTATGTCCGTGATCCAATCTGGTCCAATCCAGAATTTGTTGACGCCACCAAACACCTGCTCAAGTGCTAACCATATGTATAGTGTTGCCAAATATATGGTCTTAGTTCTTAATGGTGCAGTTACAGTCAACAATTTTATGTTTCATCTGATGCATTATAAAATCAACTCTAGGTGTTCAGAGAAGGAAGCCAAGAGAAAAATTTCATTATCAAAAGGAGGCTTCTTATAACACTGGTGAGCCAAAAAGAAAAGTCTATTAAGCACAGGTCTACTACAAGGCTAAACACTCATGCTCCAAGTTCAACACTGATTCTAAAGTCATGTATATACAGTTTCCAGAGATAAGATTTAAGTCTTCTGTGATAGACAGTTAGAAAAAAATAGAAATGGGAAGCTCAATATCATGCACCAGGAAAGAAAAGGAAATAACAGAGCATCTCATAACATTTCATGCTTTAGTTAATCTCACTTTAACTTAGGAACCTAAGCAATAACAAATGAAAACCTCACAACTTTCTGCATGACCACTGAACCCAGGCTGCCAATTTGACTACCTTTGACCCTTTGCCAAAAACTTTTGGCACTTCCCATGGCTTCCAAAGGGGTTGCAACTTAGAGTAGTGCCACAATTTTTCACAACAATTATGAGGCCTCACTTAAAGATTGAGAATCACGTGTGCCTTTGAGGTTTTTTTTTTCCCAGATTGCAGAAGATGTCTTAATGATTATAAAAAGGAATTAGTGAATAGCCCAAAGCAATTAAATTAATTTTGATCCTCATTATTTTGTCTTTTAGAACATTATAGCTGAGATTCCAAGTCTGAGGCATTTACTCATCACAGATGAATTCATGAATCTTTTAGGGTAATTTTTTTTTTTGTCAAATGGTGTTTGAAAATAAGTAATAGGAATATTGAGTTTGTTTGCAACAAATTGAAGCAGCTCTGAATCTACATATCAGGTGATTTTTCAAAGCTTTGCAACAAGATCAAATTCAACAAGTGAGACTGAAAGGCACATGAAGCTAATTAAAAATTAAGCTGAATGTTTTAAAGAGCACAAGGCTGTTATAGTAGTGCTGCTATGTTAAAATTTTTAATCAAGAAATGTTTTAACTAGGGGAAAGGTATTAGTCAAGAGCATTTAATCAAAATTGTTCTTTGAGGAAACAAATGAAAATGCATTTGTTATTAATCCAAAAACTAATGATTATTATTAGTTAATGAAAAACAATCAGTCCTATAAACCATATTCTAAAGTGAAGCTTAATTCTTGTCATGTCTAGGTCTTTCCTGGACGATGGGCTTCTCCAGTTGTCCTATTTTTGTGGTGGAATTTTGTCCAATGTTATACTGGAGTGGTCTGATGATAGAGAGCTACTTTTGCACAGCAAACAGTATTTACTTCGTAGGCTGGTAGATATTAGCAGTTTTACATCAGGGCAAATAATAATTGGCTTTGAATACCCTTCTGTAACAAATTCATCTTTGGGTTGACATTTTTTTATGGGTTTTTTTCTAAATATAAGGCAAAGTTAAGCAAATTTTATAATGACAGTTACTTTGAAAGTCAGAAAATTATAACTTCAGTCCCATGTACAAGTAAATCTGGATGTCATTTTTAGAGAGGAAATTTTGTACATTTTGTTGTTATATAAACAGTTTCAAAATTGTGAGTCCATTTAAGTGACTTCACTTCTTGAGCAGGAACTAGAATGGAGCAAGTGAAATTAGGGAGATGCAGGTGGGGACATGATCTAAAAACAAGACTCCAGGTGTAAAATTTTTTGCACTCAAATATCTCAGGTTTAAAAATTTGCCCCCACCCCTCACCTCTATTAACCCTCAACACCCTAACATCATTATGCATATTCTCCATACTGTTCTCCATAAATTTCCCAAGATGCTGGAAGGAGAACTTGTTTAACAATCAAGAGCCTCTTTAATTGGTGACCAGTTCCTTTATTCTCATGACCTTAATGTGATTGGGAGGTAATATTGTAAGGAGAAATGTTGCATTTTCTCTTTATCAGGAACAAGCTGTGAACCGATGGGAATTTCCTGCAGACCAGTTTGTTACTTATAAGTTTGTATATCTTTTTGCAAAGTTATCTTTATCAAGTACTGGTTATTTTTTTTATCTTTTCATGAATAGAACAAAGACAAAAAAAATTGTACAAGCCATAGGGCAAGTGCAGTTTGTAGTCTTCAAAAAAATTTCAAGTGCTTATTTAAACTAAACTGCATGAGAAATCTTGTTGTTACCTATTAATAATTTACGAGAAAAAAAAAGCATCACAGAAGGTCCAGTTGGGTGAAAATTTGACAGTGCACATGCTATTTTTAATTTGCACTCATGACATGAAAAATGCACCTGTTTTCAGCCAATTAGACATGCATAATTTTTTATGTATCTTATAGCAGATCAAAAATTGATTCTTACAGTCTCCTGTGAAGCACTAGTTCGAACACTGTTGAAGTTTGTATACAATAATATTAAAATTGTAACCCTTTTCCCTTTTTTCTGTTAGGTCATTCAGATCTTTTGTCCCTCTCCTCCAGTGTGCTATGCCTGCTGTGCAGATGTGGGCTTTGTGGGGAATCATAAATGTCTGCACCAGTGACAGTAAGCACCTCTTGATCTCAAATGTTTGAACAGTGCCTTGGCTAATTAAAAACTCAGACAGGATGATGCATTTGATTTTTGTAAGGCTGAGCTTAGATAGAAACCTCTATTTGACCCCATTGATGTTGCTGACATAAATTCCAACCCCCCCCCCCCCCCCCCGTGCATTCCTTTCTGTGCAGGGAAGGCAGGGTATCTTGAAGTTTGCTCGATTGCTCTTGTAGTACATAGCAAGCAAATTTAGCAATGATCATCCTAAAATTCTAGCCTGATGTACACTCAAGATTTAGGAGCTGGTCTTGTTTATGGTAGACAACTGTCTCTATTTATTGAATTTGGGACTCAAACTTGTACACCTTTCTCATATGAACATGGAAAAGTTTAACCCTTTGACCTGCAGTTTCTCCCCACAATAGCAAAATTTTTCAAGATTTGTAAGCTGTGTTGTAGTCCCATTATTAAGATTACTTACTCATGGTAATGTGATGATCAGGAGCTAAATTAACAGACAAGCGACTCACCACAAAACTTATCTTTTTTTGCAGTGCAACGTTATGCCCCTCTGCTTATAGATGTTGGAATCCGGGATATTGTTCGAAGAGTATTAACAACATCACACAATGGAGTCAGAGAGCTGGCACAGAAGCTTTCAGATACTGTGGCTAATTTTTAGCCAAGTTAGAAAAATATTAACTCCTAACTCTTTTGAAGAGACTCTCAATGACAACCTAATACTAGTTATAGTTCTCACTAGAGCTGCCCCCGCCCTACAGTACCATTTTCTTTTTTTTTTTTTTTTGAGTTGGGCTTGTTGTTTACAGTTGTGTAATTTTTCTGTTATGCTGTTACGGAATTGCGAATACTACAAGTACTCAAAATACTACAAGTGTACAAAATGTAGTTTTGGGAAGTGCTTGGGGTTTTTTTTTTTTTTGCTGTGTGGTTTAACTTAGGATTTGTTTGTTCTTCACGATCAAGAAGAAGCAGAATGTAGGGACTTGGTTGAGTTTTAACATTGGAATGTTATAGGTGGCATTGGAGAACAATTTATAGACAGCATTGAAGAACAATTTATTATTATATAGTTATTAGACACAAAATTATACCTTAAGAGGGCCTACATTCTCTCTTCAGTCTTCCTCTATACTAGGAAAAATCTCGTGTCAAAGACGCCGATCCTAAAAGTCCTCGTGCGCGTGTCTTTTTACTGGCAGCCCATGACCATTTGCGGGAAAAACGTTGATACCTTGCGGCCGTGCAAGCGATCAAATCGAGATTTTTTCTGGTTATGATCTACCGAAAATACCCACATTCTCTCTTCTCCAGTCTTCCTCTATATTACATGGGGAGTCCTAAGGTGCCTCCTCGGGTTTTTGGCCCTCTGGGGCCAAAAACCCTGTGGGGGCAAATATTTGACTAGGATTAAGTTTACTTTTTGAAGCTTAAAAAGCAGTATTGTCAATACAATATTCTTTTCAAATGCCTTTAGCAGGTCTTTGTGAAATTTTACAGGTAGGATTTGTGATTAAATGAGGAATAAATAATTTCAGGGTGCTGTCCTTGGTTACAGTTTTGTTTTATTTGTTATATTCAAACCAAGCTTTTGGTGATCTCTTTTGGCCTCTGACATGCCAATTTTTTTACTTCTAATTTGTAATTTCATGGCCTTAGATTAAATATAAATAATCTCCACTTACACTTTAAGATGGTAAGTTCACAGTCACAAAGGAAGTCTTGATGGCAATTGGAGAATCATAAGTATTTCACAAATCTCTAGATTCTACTAGATGTGTAACATTCCAGAGAAAAACCATGTGTTCACATTCCAACTCCTTTCAGTTTGGAAGGGGATATCCTAGTTATGGTTGCCACAGTCATAGGATTTTGAAATTCCCCGACATTTCCCTGAAAAAGGCAAAATTTCCCCAACCAGCTAAATTAACAATTTCACAAACTAATCCTGACCTCTAAACTCCACTCACTGCAATCCTCTCCACCCATAACTTTAGGTCAATCCCGTTCTTGTAGAAATATTTCTTCAGAATTAATGGCCTCTGTTTTAAGATTCAGAACTACTTCTGTCAGTATCTCACACATCAAATTAACTTAGGAAGCTGTTTCAGCCTGGTTATGTCCAAAATATTTGAAGTATTTTCATCTTTGGAGGCAGGCTCTGGAGTAGGAGGTGGTGCTTCACAACCTTGGAATGTTTCAGAGTTGAATAGTTCAGAATCACAAGCAGAGGTTCTTTTTGATTTCCTGGCCATAGTTGGTCCATGTTGACCTTTAGAAATTGTAGGATGTTGTGGAGCTAGGCAGTACTTTCCTAGGTACTGCTGGGTAGCCATGGATAAGTTATTCCATGTATAGTCCATGGGAGATCGAGAAATATCATCGTCAAAAGTAAAAGCTCTGTGGCGGCTGTGGCTTTTTCCACAACTGTTGATTTGTCGAAGCTCATGCTGTTGATCGTCAGTGAGGTATTTGAAGTCTGCTTCACTAAAAACTTCATCGAGAGTGTCGTCAACTGACAGTGAAAAGTAGCTAATGTGTGGTTGATCTGGTATGTTGCTCAGTGATGCTGATCTGTGGAATGGCCATTGTTTGGGGAGAGAGCTTACATGGTTCCTGATGATACAAAAGAGGACAAACCATTATCCTTCTACTATGTTGCTATGTACACTCAAAAACCCAAATGTTCCACAACTGCAGGAAGCAAGGTTCTTATGAAGAACTGAAGAAGCAGAATAGTTGTGTAAAGTGACAGGAAAATATTATCCACCTCTGAATAAAAATACATTTCAGGCTATCAAAATTAAGTCAGAGAATTTGGCAGATTAGATGGAGAATTATCTTTTCTCTCTTGCTCAGGGATCACTCTTATAAAATTTACTTAGTTTAAAAAGTACTAGGTGACCACGCCCATTGGATGGGATACCTGCCTGTTTACAGCTACTCCCCCCCTTGCCCCCACTCTTCTCTACCCTCCAAGCTTTTTATAGCCATTTTATGAAGTTTTCATTGTTTTCCGATGTTCATTTATGATGACTGAAAAAAGGAGATTGTGATGACATGGTCTTTATTGTGGTGGCTTCCATCATCATGGCTGAAAGAGGGGCAACTGACAAAACTTGCCGAGGGAAAGCTTAGGACAAACTGAAACAGCACAAGGCTGAGCTCTCGTACAAAATTGAAGGGAGCTCAGTGCTCTGAAATTGTGAAATCCAGGGTGCCCAGCATATGCTTTTTATGAAAAAAACAAAACAAAAATGTAAAAAAAGTAAGGTGTCAGGGGTCACCAGGTGCTAGGAGAGCACAGCCCTGCAACTCCGGTTGTGTTTGACTCAACCAAGAGGATTGCAAAAGATTGGTTGGAATGGAGACAAACATTCTCTCTCTTCACCTGGAACTTAAAATGGGAACTATCAATTTGTTAGGGAAAACTGAAGAAATGCTATGATGTTACCAATGATAGAATAGCATCCCATCCAGGAGAAGGAACTGAATTGTTGATGAGTTTTTTGGGGCAGCTAAGCAGGTAACTCCCTAAAATAATAATAGTTTAAACTATTTACATGTCACACATTACACTGCAACATATTGAGAGAAGATTCTCACTCAGTAAGTTCATCTTTAGCTCCAGGAGGTGAGGCCTTTAACTTTTTCAACTCCCCCATTGTTGCCATAACAACTTCCTCTCGGGTGGCATAATAGGGTGTGGCTGGTTCTTTGAGAACAGATTTCTTAGGAGAGTCTTCTGATGTGTGGTGTTCTTGAACTTGATGATCAAGAATGTTCTTGACTTGGTCCTAAATGTGGTGCAAAGATTTGGATACTTGATTGAGGCAGAAAGTAGGACATTCAATCCATGAATTCCCACTGGATGTGTTTACACATCTTTATCACCTACATATCAATACATATTTGCAATAGGCACATACCAATAAGTTGTCATAGAACTGGCGTTCGTTTATTTGTAACAGGCCATCATGATTGGATTCGCCATTTTTGTCATCATTTCCCCCAACTAGTTCCTGATCTTTTGATTGTGATATATATTCTTTCTGTCTCTGTTCTATTAGAATACTTGCACTTTCACCTACAGTAGTGAAAAAAGACATTCAGATCACTTTAATAATATTTAATGCATTTAATTATTGAATTATTTTATTTGTATTTCATAATTGATTTTTTCCTAGGGGGTGGGGGTCAAGGTTATCATTGAAACAGTTATAATTTGAAAAAGCTGTGATTTAGCATGAAAGGACAAGTACAGTCTCATGAACCAAGTAATTTTACATATTTTTCAATTAGGTGTCCATCTCACAAGTCTCCTCTCTAACCTGATCAACAGTACCACTTGATCAAGAGTACAGTGCATCAGTGCACTGACAAGGCAATTACCTCTCTCACTGCAAAGTGCAGCATGCACAGAACAGTGACAGTGCATCTACCTGAGAATCATGACATGAGTTAAAACAGGCTTTTCAGTTCAAGCAGATTGTAGTGTCAAAAGTATGTATAGATTTTAAATAGAAAAGCTGACAATTTCTTCCCTTTGAAGCTTATACTTACCCAACACAGGACTAGTGAAATTTGTCTCCATGCCTCCTCCTTCAGCTCTATCATTAGAACTGGGGCTAGTCACACCTGAGGGACTATCAACAAAGCTTGGGATATCCACAGCTTGAAGAGAAGAGGCTAATGTTTGACTAGGGTCATCAATCTCTATCACCTGATTGGCTAATTCATCAGGATTGGCAGGTAAGTTAGACTGGTGTGACTGCTTAGAGTTAACCTGATCTGTCTGTGAGCTCATTTCACTTGCAATTTGACTTGATGAAGACAAAGTTCTGGAATTGAAATGTAAACAAGTAAACATAGTATAATGTACTGTACAGAATTTAAACTTTGTCCAAAGCATTTCTTAAAAAATGCCATAGCAAGGTCCACTTGTGTAAAGGTGTTAATTGTGGTGTTAGACAAAGGAGGGATGTAAAGGAATCTTGTAATTCTCAGAAAACCTGTTCACGTCTCGGTACAGATTATGTCCACAGACAAATATCTGTGCATATTGAAGATGGATTATAGACAGAGAAAAGAAAATAATTTGAATGAGCTCAACTTTCTGAACAGACCTTCTACTCAGATTCAAGTCCTTTTCCTTAATTGGTGATGTAGCAGCTGATCTTTTGCCATTAAACTTTAAAGGTGTTCCAAATAGCAGACTAGCTCCTGTGTTGGTACATGCTGTAACCATAGAGATGGGGGAGGAATTAGGTGACCTGTCATTGCCATGGCAACTTTCCAAGTGAGGAGATCTGGGAGGAGTTAAGAGTGCGTTGGGAGTGGGAAGAAGCTGAGCATTTTGCTGCTGTAGAAGTAGTTTGATCTGAGGAACATAAAAAAAAATTGATGTTAACCCTCTACACCCTAATATAAGTTTGCAAATTCTCCCAATTTTTTTCCACACATTTCCTATGATTCTTACAAGGAGAATTTGTCCAACAATCAAGAGTTAAAATACAGAGCTTCTTAAATTTGCAATCATTTCTTTGATTTGAATGACCTCAATGCTTGATGCAAGAGGTTATACTTCTGCGGAGAAATTAGATCCCTATCACAGTTAGGGTGTGTAGGGTTTCAATCTAGCTGGTTTTCAAGGTGATTTACACTAAACAATGTAAAAATGATTTGGCTTCCATAAATTATAACTTATTTAAGCGTTTCACTCCTAGGATCCCATCAGTGATTCTCCTTACTGTCTGCCATACTATTTGTATGATGTTATTGCAAAGAAT